CCGGTTCTGTCATACTAAATCATCTTCCATTAGGAAAAAAAAGTTAAAACAACATGGTAAAAATATTGTGAAATTTAAGCAAGCCAGATACAAAAAAATGGACAGAATTCCACTATGGCAGTCATCTGTTTATGACTTCTAAGACTAGCCTTCCCTACAGATGTGTTTGATTCTAATTCCATCAAGCCCAGCCTTCATAGCCAGTAGCTCTGTTAGCTTGGAAAGATAAGGCAATCAAAAGAAAGTACAAACTTTCTTTTGTACAAAGTTTGTACAAAGTACAAAATACAAGTATAAACAATGCCAACATGGAAAAGGAGTAGTAGACAACTGAAGAAGCCCATGTGGCTTCACAAAAAGCCTAGTGATGATCTGAATACAAAAAAAGGACATACCTAGGAAGTGGAAAGAAGGCCTGGCTACAAACTGAAAATACAGACAGGTAGCACAGACTTTCAGGGATGGCATCAGGAAGGCTAAGAATGAACTGAGGGTAGTTGAGAGATGCTAAAAGCAACAAAAAAAGCCTTCTTCAGGTATGTCCAAAGTAAAAGACAAAGGAAAGAAATGAGTGTTCAACTAGTGCGGATGGCAAATAACAGATGACACAGAAAAAGCAGAAGAGCGCAATTCCTACTTTGGATCAGTCTTCTCCCTAAAGAAGAAGAAGAAACCATCCTGAAGAAGGGGAAGTACTAGCTGAAGGAGCAGGATGGCAACTCAAGATCGAAGGGCAGATAGTCACGGATGATCTAATTGGGTTGAATGAGTTCAACTCTCCACAGCCTGACGAACTCCATTCTAGAGTCATAGAGGAGCTGACGGAAGAACTCTCAGAAGCACTATTATTTCGGAGAAATATCAGAGGACAGGGGAAGTGCGAGATGAGAGGAGAAGGGCTAATGCTGTCCCTATATTCAAGGAAGAAAAAGAATAGCCTAGGAACTACTGACCAGTCAGTCTGACATCAATCCCTGGGAAAATTCTGGAGCAAATTATAAAGCAGTCAGTCTGCAGACACCTTAAAAACAATGCAGTGAAGCCACTATGGATTACTCCAAGAACAAATCTTGCCAGACTAATATGATTTCATTTGGGATGGGGGGGGGTGCCTCCTTGATGGACTATAGGAATGCTGTGGATACAATTTATCTTGACTTCAGCAAAGCTTTTGACATAGTGTCCCACAATGTCCTGATTAGCAAATTAGTCAAAAGTGGGTCAAGTGGAATAATGATCAGGTGGATCCACAGCTGACTACAGAATTAAACTCAAAGAGTGCTCATCAACGGCACCCTCTCAAACTGGGGAGAAGTAACAAGCGGGGAACTGCAGGGTTCTGTGCAGAGGGCCCAGTGCTCTTCAACTTTTTAATTAATGATTTGGATGGGGAAGTGAAGGGGACCATTATTAAATCTGCAGATGGCACAAGACTGGGTGGGAGAGCTTATACTCTGGAAGACAGATTCAAGGGGACCTTGATAGACTGGAGTGCTGGAATGAAAACAACAGAATCAAAGTATTTTAGGACAAATGCCAAGTTCTGCTCCTATGAAAAGGAAACCAAATGCATTGTTACAAGATGGGGAATATTTGGCTCAATATTACAGCAAATGAGAAGGGTATTGCAACTGCTGAAGATTACAAACTGAATACAAGTCAAAAATGTGACGTGGCTGCAAAAAGGGCAAATGCTATCTTTCCCAAATACTGTGAAGTACTAGTTCCCCTACATTCAGCACTGATTAGGCCTCACCTGGAGTACTACGTCCAGTTCTGGGCACCACAGTTTTGGAAAGACAAAGACAAGCTGAAAGGGTTCAGAGGAGGGCAAAAAGGATGATCCAGGAAATGGAAACAAAGCCCTACGAGAGATTGAAAGAACTGGGCATGTTTAGCCTCAAAAAGAGAAGGCAGAGGGGAGATATGATGCCACTCTACAGGTACTTGAAAGACTATCACAAAGAGGAAGGATAGGATCTCTTCTTAACAATCCCAGAGTGCAGGACTTCAACTAATGGGCTCAACTTACAGAAGCTAGATTCTGGTTAGATACCAGAAGAAAATGCCTGACTGAATTTCCTTTATAGTTGTTGTACTGCTGTAACAATGGAAACAATGACCTAGGGAGGTTTTGGGCACTCCTACTAGAGGCATTCGAGATGCAACTGGACAGCCATTAGGGAAGGATGGTTTAACTTGGAGTCCTGCACTGAGCGGGGGCTTGGACCTGATGGCCCTTTCCAACTTTTCTATGAAGAACTACTAGTTATGATGGCTGCATGCTACCTCCAGTCTGAGACAGGCTGTAGTTAATCGGTAGAACTTTGCATGCACAAAGCCCCAGTTCAATCCTCAGCATTTCCAGGAAGGTCTGAAAGAAGCCCTGCCTGAACCCAGGAAAGCCGCAGCTCCCAGTAAATGTTAACAGTGCTAGGCTAGATGGACCAATGTTCTGACTCACTGTAAGGAAGCCTCCTAAGTTCCTAGAGACTGCAGGTCTCAGTTGCTGGAGAACGTAAGCAGGATGGTTCTGCTGCACTTGTGTCCTACCTCCCATACGCAGCTCAATGGCCACTGTGTAAGCAGGATGCTGCACTAGATGGACTGTGGGTCTGAGTCACTACGGCTCTTCTTACAATGTTACATCTGGATGGTGCCTGCTGGGGGTGGCTGTCTATAAAATATAAAATAATTTTATTCTGATTAACGTTGTAAGCCATCCAGAGATGGAAGTAATGGACAGCTTACAAATTTTATAAATAAATAAATAAATAAAAAATAAATAATACTCATTAAACCGAATTAGTGATTTATTAGGAATTAGAAATGAAGCCCACCTATGGACTGCCACACCTTTATCACATGCAGATTGTCATACGCACAGTACATGCAACTGGTCATGCCTTTCCGGGTTGTACACACTACAAGTACAACATTTATGAAGGCACAATCACTGGACAGGTACTTAAGCACTTTTATATAAGGGTAAACTAAAGAATGGAGGGGGCATTTTTTTCTGATAGATTTTCACTATGTACAAAAAGGAATCCCCCTTTTGACAATTATTTGACAAGACACAGAGAATCAACAGGGAGAAAGAATTTGCTCCCTTATAATGAAAGCAGGAAGAACATCATGTAATCAAACTTGACTGGTAAAGATTACTTTGTAGGAAGAAATCTGGTTTAAAATAAATAGAAAAAGCTTGCTTGAAGATAGATAGACCCCTCTCTGCCACCCCAATAGCTACTTTCAGGCCAAAGCAATGTTCACATGTTACAGTCCTATTCTGCTATTTGCTGTATTACCATGTTTCTTCACTAAGGCTCTTAAAAAGTCTCCTGATATTCCTTCCCTTTCTTTTGAGTCTGTTAATCATCTGCTTTCATCACTTTATAATGGAAACCTTTTTTACTTGGTCTGACAGTTAAAGTGAAAGACATATGAAAGAGTGCACAGTCTACCCAAGACAATGCTTGCAACACTTTTGAGTTTCAACACATCATTTCACAGGAGACATATAAATTAGCAGTTTTACATAGGACTGCTGCCTTTTCTCCTCACAAGAGTCTTTATTTTAGGAGCTGTGTAACAAATAGAAATTTAACAGATGCATCTTTCCCAGATGAAGCAATTGGAAATGTACCTGTCTCTACAACTTAGAAAGTAGAAAAGGTGACAACAGTAAACATTGTCACTAAACAGCACTCTTTTGGCTTGACCATCCATTCAAGAAAAGTGAACTACAGGAGCAGGGCACCAGATGAACGAGAAGTGTGTGGAATACAAAGAGAGACAGACAGGAGCTCACCACAAGACTGCATTTTTGAGAGAGCATCTGTGCTGTGACTAATAAGCAGAAAGCTGATTAGAAGAAAGTCCAAAATAGTAGTGCAATAGCAAAAAAAATGAAGGAAAGGGAAGCTTAGGCAAATGTCTGCAAGGTAGATAACTGCCATTGTGGGTAAAAGCAAGACAAGTTGTTTGGAAGCAAAGGGCCAAGAAGTGTAAAAGCTAGGCAACTGAGGGCAAGCACTGTGTGGGGACATGGGTAACAACTTCAGAACAGATGAATCAACCTGCCCGAACTGAACCAAGACTGTATAAAATCAAGCATCTTATTTCCAACAGTGTCCAAAAAAACACCTCTGTGATATTCACAATCAGAGCATGAAGGCAGTAGCCCATTCTTCATGTCCACTCCAAGCATCTTGTATTCAGATGACAAAATGTCCCTGAACTATTATTTAATATGGTTTCATTTAATTAACTGTGGTCATTAGTTGTAGATTTGAATCTGCTACATGGAAGGTGGGTAGTCATTTTACAATGAGTAAATGAGTAACCAGGGTTGGCAGGAGAGAGTTGTTTAAAACTGAAGGGCTAAAAGAGGGCAACTGCCAAAGAAGCAAGAGTAAGTTGCTTCACGGAAAGGGTGGGAAATATGATGTGGAGAAGTTAGATGAGAAAAAGCCCCGAACCGAGACCTACGGTCAAGATAAAGGAAATCATGACTTTTTGGAAAGAGAAACCTAAGGATGCCAAATATGAGAAGACAACAGAGTAAGAAAGCCTCTCTGTAGGGTGGACGTGATCATCCCTGCTGATGTATGCGTGTTGAGGGGAGATAAGGGGGGTATTTCTATAGCCCTAGATGTGATGTTGCCCTCTTCCCACCTGGTGCAATGGTTTCTGGGAGTTGTAGTCTCCCAAAACAGTTAGGCCAGGGCTACCACCTCACTCCTCTCCTCCGGAACATGAATCCAGCTTTTTCAGCAGGGACTTTCATTGTTCCCCGCCTCATCAAAGAAGACTTCCTTGAAGACTCGCTCCAGAGCCCGTATTGCCCCTTCGCAACGGACCAGCGGAGGACTTCAAGTCCCATGGTGCTCCGCGCCACCACAGCTCAAACGCACGCGCAATGCAGGTGAGAGGTCAGGCCAGCCGCCACAGGCCCTAGCCACTGCGGGCCTCCCCACTCCCTCAGTCCCGCTCACCGCGAACCCGCTGAGACGGGTAGAGGCGCTGCGCCTTCTCCAAGAAACGACGCGCCTTTTCCGTCTGGTTGGCCTTGATGGCGGCCACCGCGATACCAATACAACGCTCCGCCTCGTCCCTGTTGGATTCCATGGTGGCGGCGGCGGCGGCAGTGTAAAGAGCCGGCGCCCAGTGATTCCGTCACCCAAGGATTGCGCAGCGTCCTCTGCTGGAATCTCCCTAATTGTGCGGGCCGCAGATTCTACCGAACTGTTTGTACTAGCGGTAGCATTCCTGCTCTCTTGCCGTATTAACCAGAATAGCCGGGCACCTTTGCGTGAGAGATTCTTCAAGTGTTGCAAGAAGACTCCTGAGCCGGTAACTCAGGAACCCGTCTGCAAATTTTCAAAAGGAACTATGAAAAATCCCAATATCCATGTTCCTGTAATATCTTTAATAAAGATTAAAGTGCCAAGCAAGGCATCGACAAAATTGTGCAGACGTTCGAGACTGACAGATCTCTTCTTCAGGCAAGATGTTTTAAAAACGCACGCGAGAGGCGGCAGGGGGTGACTCGACGCTGAAGCCACCTTGCCTGCACATCTAGACTAGTTACTTACTTGTTTAAAGTGGGAGGAGGAGTCTGCTGGCCCTATGATGGCTATATGTTAAATTTACTGCCCTGATTGCTTTGGGTGAAAGAGGTGAATGTTGTAGACGCTGTTTTTGGGAAATATAAAATCTAGCTCTCCTGAGGAATGTTCTCCGTCATGGTCAGGGTACGTGAGGTTCCTCTTATGGGTGGATCAAAGAAAAATCTGGAAGTTTTTATATTTCCAAAGCATGAATGTTACATATGATCAGGTCTGATGACAATACAGATGTTTTCATGCTGCCTTTTTGGGACAACTGGGTGTGTCACAGGGCTCCTAGCAGTACCAGGCGGCAATATGCAGCAAGTCCATTTTTTAAAATTCTGCAGTGAGAAGAAAGAAAGAAAAATACCACAGAAGCATTCTGTTACTGAGGCAAGGGGACTGCACAATGAAAAACTTCTCTGGAAGGACCTGTTGTCTTCATGCAGTCCAATGTGGAACCTGTAGGGATCCCCAGTCTCAGCAATCATTGGGATATAATTCTTTCAGGCCGGTTGAAGGCTCTCTCTCTCCCCCCCCCCCCCCCCCCCCCCCCCCCCCCCTTTCTGGCACTCACAGGTCTTAAACAGCCTTAGGGAAAATGGGAAAGGGGCTTCCAACAGTTCTCCCAGGCTGTTAATATCCTTGCTTGCTGGGAAACCCTACAGAGCAGATTTTCAGGATGGTGCATGCTAGTGGACTTCAGCTGATTTAGTCCTGTATCTCTGCATCACCTTCAGCATTCATTTTAGCTGTCAAAATGAGGAAAAAAAAAACCTCCTATGCTGACCATGTTCAAGAAACAGGTAGATAATTTTTTAAAATGTACATTGGAAAACAATTTTAAATGTTTCGATATAAAGTTTATCCATATTCTAACTTTCACCCCAAAAGAGGCAGCAGTGGATACTACTAGAATACAATAGAGTAATGGATCAAACCTTATGTATAATCAATACATTTAAGTGTATACACTTAATGAGATTCTTTTTATTATTTAGACTTTTTTGTTTGATGGTATTCACAATACAAATAAATTGAAAAAGTCAAGACTTCATTTAAACGAACTTGTTTGGATGGGTGGGTTGTGATTTTTAAACAGAAAAATTATGGCTGATTTTTAGTGTTTTTTTCATCATCAATTTTTATCCAATGTGCTTACCTAGAGGAAGGGTTGTCAGTGAGTATTAAAGAATGATAACTTGCTAGTCCCTGGCTTTTATTGTGTTATTCTGCCCCCCATTTTTCCATATAAACTAATATGTATTTTCTTCTAGCTCAGCTATTTTCTCACTGGTTAGAGATGAATGTGCCTAATAAAACAAAAGCAGTTTTGTTAAAAGAAACTATAGACCTGGGCATGCATTCAAGTAATTTTGAGTTTTCCTCTCATATTTTATATCATCACTGGACAGAATCATCGCTGTATAATTCACTACTTGGGGGGACTTGACTTGTTCTCTTTGTGATACAAACTACGTTCTCAATTATAACCTTGCAGTTGACAGGACATGACAAAAGCTGTAGGAAAGCTTTGACTCTCAAGCACTGTTTCAAATACTAAATTATCATGGCTTGCTCTGAAGGTATGTGACAGAATAACCTTACTGAAGCTGATCAGCTCACCTGGACTCTGGACGTTGCCTGGATGGAAAACTCCTCAGAAACCTCTTGTGTGCTTTCTCCCTCTTGGGTCCTCTGGAAAAAGAATGGGGTTTTATATGAGTGTAATGCATTCTTAAGAACATGTAAGTATTGTAATATTTGGCTTTTTAGGATTTAATTTTTAGAGAAATCCTCTGAATCTGAAAAGGCAGCTTGTAGCTTTTCAGATATTTTGGCGTTGACTCTGTTGGCAAGCCTAATCTTCAGAATGGCTACAAGTCGCCCACCTCAGTTCTACATGAAGAGGATATCTGTAACAGAATTTGAATTCAAGGCATTCTGGTACAAATTTCATCACTTTACTAATAAATCTCCAGAAAATACTAGTCCACCAGTCCTTTGCCATATGTTAGTCACCTGCGGTACACAGAGCTTTCTTCCTTTCAAAGCAGTGTTTACAATCCTACACACATTTAATGGGAATGAGCTCCATCATACCCAAGTCTCCACACCAATCCTAAACTGAAGATCCACTGGCCACTGGGGGTTAGGATGGGGTGGGAATGCCCCTCTTGCCTGCAGGCCTCAGTTATAGCTGCTGGAAGCTAGCTCCACAGGTGTGGATTTACTGCCAGTGGTTGATGCTGAGACAAGGTAATCCTGGAAGGAAGAGGGCAGCTTTAGATCCTAAAATGAGGCGCCTCAGGCTGGGGATGCCATAACTAATCCCCCTTGCCCACCCATTGGTTTTACTGGAAGGGGAGAATCCAAAATATCTTTTCCAACATAAGGTGTTTTTTTCAGCATTTCCCCAGCTTTTCAGTCCTCTCTCCCTCTCTCCCTCCCTCCCTCTCTTTCTCTCACACCCCCCATCACTTTGGATTGCTTTTCTACTCCTTTCAACCAATGCCTTTTAATGGAACCAGATCCAAAACAGAAATATTAATGTTGAAACTTCTGCAGATGCTAAAGATGGAACAGAGGCTTAAATGGGTGTACCTCTAATAACAGACCGAACTTCTTATTTACCAAGGGACTCTTCTGCAACCCAGTGCCCTCCAGATGTTTTAAACTTTGAACTCCCAGCAGCACAACCTGCGTAGCCAGTGGTTAGGGAGCCTTGGAGCTGTAGTCCCGGACATGGGATACAAGTTTGGGGAAGGCAGTACCTGGGGGGTAATTTCCTGAATATCTGCAAACTTAAGGGGGAAGTGTTACAAAGAGGCCCATCAGTGATATCTTTCACCATGGAAATTAGTAAAATATGTGGACAAAACAGAAGGAAAATGTGAATATGAAAGAGGATTCTATTCATCTGTACTATGTGAAAGAGCAAAACAGACTGACAATTGTTTAAAAATGTTAATTTTGCTTTGAATGCTTGGTATATATTTAATAACTGCAGCTAAAATTAACATCCCAAGGCAACAGAATATATAGAGTAATTTGTAAGTAAAGAAATTAGTTAATAGGCTTATTGAAATCAATAACTTGATTTCTGTTATCTGCTCTGAACATGATTGTCTGCATACAACCTACTGTCTCTCCAAAAGAAAACAGCAATTAAGCACAATTTTGTCAGTTATGACAACTAGTAATAAAATTATGTTAATATTTGACTAAAATAGATTATTGTATATTTAAAGTAATTAAGGCCTAGAAGGAAAGTTAATTTATGTTTAATTGAATGAAGGAAATCTAACATGTAAGATTGATTAGGAGCAGTGGTTAAAACAAGCTTAAATTCTTAAAAACATTATTTCCCCCATGTTTCCTTCCCTCCCTCTGTGTATTGACCTAATGTATCATTTTTATAATGAGTACAGAAAAACAATTTCTGAATAGCATGTACATGATCATACTGTTAGTTGCCTGGCAGTTAATTATTTACTCCATACCCCTGAGTAAGTATTAGCTACTTATTAACTTGGTTTTAAGGACTGCAGGTGTGCTGCTGTGCTGGCTGATCGAAAGGTTGCCGGTTTGAATCTGCACAACGGGGTGAGTTCCCGTTGCTCCATCCCTGATCCCGCCAACCTTGCTGTTCGAAAGCATGCAAATGCAAGTAGATAGAAAGGTACCACTTCCGTGGGCAGGTAACAGCGTTCCGTGCAGACATAACGTCAAGGGGAAACCTTTACCTTTAACTTGGTTTTGTTTTGAATTAAAACCTAATTGTCATGGTCAAATGAGTCTGTTAAGAATTTTGTCAAATATTTGAAGGGATCTTTGCCTGTGGTGAAAAGATCAAGAAGTGAAGTACATGTCAGAAAAGGATTAGGAAATTCCACCAAATAGTTTGTTCGGCGGCTTCTCTGATCACTGGCATGCTGTCATCCTTGAATTTGCTAGAATCCAGCAGATGGTGTGTAATTGTTTCCAGATCTGTTTACGTCAGACCTCTGAGTTGCTCATAGTCTTGTGCCCAAACTGACTATAGTCTATGTAAAACAAATATTTTTTAAAATGGTGGCATGATTGGCCCAAATTTTCTGCATTTTTAAAAAAATCAGAATTCTTTAACTCATATACGTTATTTAAATATCTGGGAACTTGCTTTGCACAATCTGTTTCTAACAAGAAAAGAACCAAAGAGATATGATAAGGTGGAAATCTTTTTTCATTCACTCCTTACTGACTTCTGAAATTCACTTGGCATGACTTTGCAACCATCAAAGCTCACAGAATTTCTTTTGGATTTTTAATGTTTGTTTAATATTATATTCTGAGTGTTGGATTCTGAAAGCTGAATTATTCCCCCATCTTACTTCCCATGCTTGGGTAGCATAAAAGAAGATGAACAGCCTGGCTTCTCCCCTACTTTTACATTGAGCTCAGACAAATAATCCTTTCCAATGATCCTTGATGGATGCAAAGTTGAACATGCAAATGGTGTATTTACTGGAGACCTTTCAAGTAAGCCCTATATTCTGTCAGTGTTTAT